TTTTGAGTGGACCGGGCGGAGCCGGGTATGCCAGCTAGTGTGCCTATAAGTAAAAATAAATGATTAGAAAGTTTTTTTTCTCACGGGGAAGAAGTTAGGCTCGAAAGGGTCAAGGTAAATTCTTTTACCTAGGCTTGGTACAGGTTCCAGAAGATCGCTTACAACATTGTCTCACGTGTTTACAAAGGTTTATTAGAATTCTGATCTCTAATCTAACAAGCAGTAAGGAAACAAAAAATAACAAGTTTGTAACAAAACGCACAACAACAACATAATCTGAGAACATTATTGAAAAACCCGAAGTTTTACTTCGCCGTTTTCTTCGCCTTCTTCTTCTTTATTTTAATTCTGTCCGGAAGCTGTTGAACCATAATCAGTCCGTGATAATAGAGCAGGTGGCACAGTGCTTGCACATCTACACCATTCATGTTTTCCGGCATTTCGGACAATGACATCCACTCAGGATAACTGTCGCAGAGCGCGTTGTACCCGCTCACATACTAAAAAAGGTGTTTTGAAGACAATAAATTGAAAGACCAATGTCCCACCTCAACTGGCAGCTCAAAGTTTTGTTCTGGTAGACCTTCATATATGCGAGAGTTAGCCATGCGATGCACTACATAGCAACTATCTTCGCTCTCAAAAATAAGCCTGCAAGAAACTTGATGAAAGAAGTCAAACCTGGGAACAAAAGTAGTGCACCTTTGCGCATGTCGTCGGATGAGTTTGACTCTTGTGCTCGGACGGAACTCCATTACGTCACCACTGAGAATATCCGTGCGTGCCCCTACCGCGCTAAGCGCTTTTTCTTCTGAAATAAAAAGAAACTAGGTCACAACATCAGCAACGGTATATCGAAACTCACCATCAGTAAGTCTAGGAGGAAGAGCAGTTCTCATAAATTCTCTAGCCATGAGATCGATACCTCCATCACACACTTCTCTCAAGGAATTTCGAAGCACAGTCATATGACGATCAAGTACTCCCTTCCATCTAGAATCGAAAAGAGACTCAGTATTTCATGATTCAAGCAGATAGGCGGCTGGGAGGCGGGGTTTCGTGACCTATTTA